AAGCTTTAGCAGAGTTGCAAACCAAGTTCAACGTTCCTCCGTTAGGATTTCAAGTTTTGAAAACCCCCCTCAAAATGGCGTTACGTCACTGAGTCAAGTGGCAACCAGCATAAAGAAATATTTGGTTTTTTGGTACATGCATGTGATCAATTAGAGTCTTCAACTTTGAACCTTCCTCACAAACCTCATTCAAAGCAAACCTTCCTCCGGGTGGTACCTGCGTACCCACAGCTTTTTTGCAACTCTGAGCTTTAGTTGCTTATACAAGTTGCTTCACTCACCAATTACAACCGTCACTCCGGGGCATCCGACGTTCTTTTGAGCGCCAGCAACGATGCATCCAAACTATAAAAGCAAAGAAGTTTCCGTCGTATTTCGACCCCGAAAAAAACACTATTGCATCAAATATATCATAGATTTACCTTTGAGACGTCCACGGGCCTCGTCAAAAAGTTGGAAGACATATCACAAACTAAGGGTACTCCGTTGGTCTCAGGTATAAAATCAAACTCGACTCCTGTAATAGACAATATATGACCTGAATTAGTGTGCTATTACTGGAATTTCAAACCCAATATATAGCCTGTTGAAACCATATCTGGCTTTCTTATATATTTTTACAGGCTTTGTGTTGATTTTTCTCGCTACTTTTAATAACGGCGATAAAGTTTTGGAGAATAGATTTGAATTTTGAAGATCATGGAATTTTTTTCGACTGGACGCTTACATGAGTTCAAAAGGACATTGCTTTTGTAAGCGAGTACCAGACGTTATCCCAGGCTGTTGTTAGAGGGTAAGAGCCAGCACGCTAACCCCATCTGTCATTAGTGTTCCCCATCCTCCCCCTCATGTACCTCATCTCAATATTTAGACTTTTCTTTTTTAGTTGCAATGTCAATTTGTTACGTTGGATTAAATTAAAACTGATAGATGGAGTAGTTGAAGGCGATCTTTCCTCACCGTGGACTGTTTCGTTTGCACAGTAATAGACATACGAGGCATCTTTATTCAATGTCCAATCTTTTTCATCGGGGATTGCTAAATCACAGAAAATGTAACTAATGTAAGCGTTCAACATCGATTTCAGGATCTTCCCTGTGTGGCGGGAAAAACTCTGGCGGGAAACGGTCACGTGGTCATAGACATTGAAGTATTTGAAGTCTGAACAACCAAAACGCCAGAAACAAGTAGTGGACCTTGACAGAGCAATGTTCGCAACAGAACGATGATATGTTTCAATACGAATATTATTTAATTTTGATTTGTCTAAAGACATTCTATGCTAATCACTTTTGGCAGCTTGCATGACAACCTCGATTTTCACATCAAGTTGATAAAGTGTTAGGTAAAGAATTAGGTAAGATTGAGATAACATACAACAGTTTTAATATATTTTTCTGCTTTTAAAACTTAAAGGTACTAGCCCACAATTGTAGGCCGAAAACACATGATAGAATGATTCATTATCACTTAAAGTATGTATCATAGGACAGACTAGACATCTGATGTAAGGCTGGTTGTGTAAGATTTTGAATTCTAAAACTCATTACTTACCGGTGAACATCTTAGGCTTTGGAAAAACGTAATTGACTTGACCATATTTTGCAGCCTGCATTGAAAGGTTATTGATAATTATATCATTGGTTATTGAGTCATTGATAATTACATCTATTTCCAAGGGGGATAATTTTTACTAAAAGTGGATATGTATGAGGAAGATCTACATCACTATAGATTATATTACAAATCTCCAAAGATTGGAGGGAATCTTCAGGATGAATGTCTCTGTTTCAAATGTTGAGCTTCCTGTTTCATAAACACATTAAAACTTTTAAGCCCGCACACAAGAGCTATCAGCTGAGTTAACGACCTCGCGAGGCAGTTAGCTCAGCCTGAAAACCATCCGCAGATGTGAGAAACTTGCCTCTCAAGGAGAATTCCTTATGAAAAACTATCCTCACACGAGAGTAACTTACTGAGCTAACAGCCACGCCAGGTCTTTAGCTCAGCTGATAGCTCACATGTGTGACGGGCTTTAAACAATAATTTCATGCAATATCATATGTTATCTAATCTGATCGGTATGTTGTTGGTCCATGGGATCCAATACCTACATTATACATCTAATTACCTCATTTGCAGCTTTAGATGACCATGTTCCAGTGACAATATAGTCAGCACTGCCTCCCTCTGAAAAAAAGTTTACCATAAAGACAAACCTTTTTAGTGAAAATCGATTATCGACATTATTAATTATGGGTTGTGGCAATTTAAATACTGTAATGCATTAACTTTAATAAAATGAATAATGAATAATCACCCTTCATCAAATTCATTGGGACAAATGAAAACTGTCCATATCCACCTCCTTGACAGAAAAGGATCTTGTAGTTGTCAGGAACATCTCTGTGCAATCATATCAGAAAAATGAAGCACTTTAGCATTTGTGGGGACTTTAATCTATCTAACTCAGATTGTGCTCTTTTTGGTGATTTCACTTACAGAATCTTTCTAATGTTATCAATGGCTTCTTGATTTAGAGCTGCATACTCCTTTGACCGATGGCTGAGTTCTAACAACATAATGTCATAGGTCAAATGAAATGCATGACCTGTTATTTGTAATTATTGGAATCCAATAATATTATTGGTATTCTGACCAACAATCCAGACATAACTTAGCTGATGAAAATAACATAAAAATGAGAGAAATTGTAATCTTTCTTACCCAAAATACTGACACCAGTGTCATCATAATTTAGCATTTCTTTTTGAGCATGGATAAGGACCTACAATTATAAATACCAGCTTTCATTCCTGGTGATCTGATGCATACAAGCCTCAGTTGCAGATTTAATGACTCACTACTGGCTATGCAAACCATCCATTTCACTTTGTAGCCAAAGTAAAAAACAATATGTAAAGAAAGGATTTGCATGTCCAGCCGCTTCAAAGATACTCCGGTTTTATAATCTACCCAGATCAGGATCAAGAGCACCACTGTCCTCATAAATATTTGTAAGAGGGCATTGTATACAATAAACTAAAAAAATGTCGAAGAATTTTATATTCGTAGACTAAAGTCGTTTGACTATTTCGCAAAGATCATCTCTCTATCATGACTGTTCTGTTATGACAAACCTACGTACGGGTACTACCGTTATGATTAAACGTTTTACACTTGCTAAACTAAACTTTTCACAAAAGCAAGATAACTAGAAGTACACACGAGATATACTCGATTTAATACCTCTTGAGGAATCTTCGCCGGTCCTGGGGCAAAATTGATAACTTTTTTCGCGTTTGGTTTCACCATTTTTCGTGCCTGCTGCGTAAAAGATGAACGCGACAAAAATCGGTGAATTGTTGGTGTGAAACTGGCTCGAAAAAGCAAACAAAGCGTGCTATGTTTCATTCGAAATATAAAATATTGATCGCTACGTTCAATTTCCGCTTATTTACATCGTTCTCGCTTCTCATTGGTCCATACGGCAGGTAGACAAATCTAAAATAATTTGCTACACTGATTTTGCACGTGACGGGAGTTTCAGCAAATTACTGCGGTCAAAGGTCATTTCAGATTTGGCAACGAGGTACCCTGGGTACGAGGGTGGCATAAGTCTATAGATAGCCATTTTTTCGCCATTTTCACATCATCTCTGACGTTCACGTCCTCATGCTAAATCTCCCTAAAAATGCAAAGTTTCGGTGCCCTCACGATACCCAGGGCAACCAAGACTGTCTGTCGCAAGTCGCAAAATACAGGATTTTGACTTTTGCCAACAAAGATCTAAAGTACGGCAGGAAAAATAGATCCCGAGGGCCGAGTCAAACGGAGATTTCATTGCTAATATTATAAGTTCCTCAACACAGCACCAGACACGAATATGAGGAAATTTGTATCAAAAAAACGTTTCTTCTAGTTCTAGACCATACACCATAGTAAAATGGGAATCAAAGAGTTGGGATTGTAGATGGAAAACGCCATTTTATCCAGCCTGAAAGAACGCCGAGAAAACTGAAGCTTCAGGGAGCTAAATTATTCAACTACATTGAAAAAAATCAAAATCATCATTTTAACTGTCTATTGCCGATCAAAAAGCGATTTAGTTGTGATCTTTGAGGACATATTTTCATCTCACCTAAATGCAAAACTGATCGCTATAAGAACACTTTCATCCTTGCCAACATTTCTCAACTTGGTAGTTCATACTAAATATATACTTACTATGTGAAATAGTCTATTAATTTTCACTTTTATATGTAAATATTGTAAAATTGTGAAATTTAATCTTTGCCGGTTAAAAGGCAATTCTATTAAAACGATTTTCTACATTTGAATATGCAAGGAATAATTTGTATTATACTATAATAAATATATCGGCGTCTATAGCTCGGTCTCCCACACTAGTCTCAACAAGCTTCTTCTTTTAGTTTTATGCAGTGTTCTGGGAATCTAACCCAGAAGCCAAACACTCGCGTTTTTAACCGTTCATGTACAAATAGGGTTGCTTGATTTTGTAAAATGTTCAAGAAATCTTCTCACCATAACAACGTTTGGCCCCAGACATGGACACTGTTTTTAAAGCCAAACGAAAAGGAGGGAAACCGGAGTGCCCGGAGAAAAACCCTCCAAAAGGTAACCTGAATTTCAGGTCACCTGACCGGCTGTCCGAATTTGGTATTTTCATTCAGAAATCGTTTGCAATGACAGTTCACGTTTCATTTATAGTTAACCGTTCTTTGCTTCGCTCATCCGAATTGAGTGTCCCAGGAATTGCATATTGGTATGCAATTCTTGAGCTTTTACAATTGAATCCGGGTGGTGGTCTAACCGTCCGCAGCGCGCATATACCATCAATTGCAAAACAACAGGCTATTAGGAATTTTTAACACTGCGCTTTGTCCGACAATGGCAACAAAAATTATTTCAGTTATTCAAATACGCTCATTTTATGATCGTGCTTTCTGGAATTTTGAAAAGAAATTATTCATTATTCACGACTTGCATGCTTTTTCATCTGAAACCGATTTAGACAACAACACTCTTCAACTATACCCTTCTTATGACATGCATCTCATGCACTGATCATCAGCATCATCTTTTATACGCTCTGGTTAACTGTTGACCGAAAATGGAGGAAATAAACGTAATCTGGCTCAACATGCAATTTACTCAATACGGCTAATCAATAATGTGCTCTGCCTTTGGCACCGTATAATTAATTACCTTTTGTAAACTGTAAAAAGTGTAACGAAATTTCACTTGCCTCTTTGCTTCCTTGCTCCATTGCAAACAGTTGCGTTCTTCTTTGCCAATTCCAAACAATTGCGTTCTTCTTTACAATTCCAAACAGTTGTGCATTCTTCAGTTATCTCGACGGTGTGGCGTGCAAGGAATTAAAAAACATAGTAAGTGTGTCAAAATACAAAGGCTATTCTTTAAACTGATTTAAATTCAAGGCAAGAGGGTAACTATACAATATGAACCTACAGTTACCTGTTAAACGCAAACCCCCAGATACCCCCATTTGTATAAGTGTAGTTATCATGCAATGTAATATGTCATGTAATAATAAAGAGGTATATTTTTCTTGTTATAGAGATCTCATCAAGTTAGTTAAAACTATATTAGATAACGTTTATTTCCTTCATGCTCGAGAGTCGAGTTTAACCGGAAAACCATGCACAATGCGAAAAAATTAATACCAACCGGCAATTAAGGGAAACAGAAGAGTGCTTATGTCTAAACATCGAATAATATTTTTTTCTTCAATTTCAAACTTCAATATTTCGAATTTAAATGTTGAAAGTGCAAAGTATAATTTTTGTTGCCACTGACGGACGGTCCTTCAAAACGGTCGCATTATAACTGACTAAACAGAGAAACTTATATAATCATATAAGTACTCTTGAATATCTTCGTATTAATCTAAAATTAGGCCAATACGAATTTGATAATATTTTCTCGTTGCGTGCGCGCCACAGCCATGCTAATTGCATTTCGTGCATTCATTTCAACGCTTTAAAGCCATCATGCATCTTCCGCAGCTCGGCAGCTGTTAAGTCGTTCACACGCAAGTGACAAAACTAGGAATGTTTCATCGAGAAACCTCGAAAACCTCTCATAAGAGTTGTAAGAAATTGGTTATCATGCATTGTCGAAAAGGGTTAATTGTCACTTGATGTGTGAATATATCAGGTTAGACCACCACGAGGAATCAATCCAAGAATAAATCATGCACTAACAAGCATTACTCTAATTGATATATCTATAGTATGTACCTCACTATAGCTTCCACTTGTGCACCTGTCTCGTCGTCCATCATCTGATCCTGCGACGATCCTCCATGCATCATCTTATCCTGCGACGATCCTCCAGCATCATCTTCTCCTACGACGATCCTCCATGCATCATCTTCTCCTACGACGATCCTCCATGTATCATTTCATCCTGCGACGATCCTCCATGCATCACCTGATCCTGCGACGATCCATCATCTGATCCTTTAGCGCAGATACAAAATTTTGATATCATAAGTTTCCAAACGAGAAATGTCACTTATGTATAAAGCATTTAAAATAAGCACTTAAAACCCGATTACAAACTTCCAACATCTCTTCCGCCACTTGTCCAAGGCCTTCGATTGAGCACGCAAATACAAAATATCCAAAATATCATGCACGTTTTGTAGGAAATAATCATCGTTTTTTTTCATGGTCCTGAGAAAACTAAAACACTCGACTATTATCTCCTTCTAGAAACACAATTTCTCATGCATTTTTATGTTTTAGGCGCTCTGTGAGGGATAGTTTTTCAGTCCGCACTATTGTCGTTCAAGATGGAGAAAATACAAGTGATGGGGCCCCAGAATCACTTGTATTTACTCCGCATGCACTTGACACGACCAGGTCAACCCATGCAAAATCGTAATCCGAAAAGTTGAAAATCAAGGAGGTAAACAGAAGAGTGTTCAGTATATCTCAGCCAAAAAGCCAACTCCCATGCAATTTTACTCATGCATATTTTCATGCACCGAAATCGAGTTTTGTATTTGCGTGCATATCTCAAGGCAGATCCCACATCTCTCCAGTCCGACGATTTTTTCTTTCTGAAAAAAGAAAATTTCGGTAAAACAAGAAATTCATGGACATATAAAGCCTAGTTAAAGTGACTTGCTTATAACTCAGCACACTGCACATGTCGAGTATAGCATAGCATAAAAGCACTGACGGACGAGTATATTCACGATACGACAACCGTGTACGGAAAACACACGCCTCGGTGTGCCAAACGGGTAGGTTTCAACCATTTCTTGGGAAAAATTTAGGATAAAGTTTGAAATCTTCGACTAAACTATATTTTAGTTTCGCCCACCCTGTACAAACGTGTTATTTCAAGTCATAAATTCAAAATACACAATATATTAATAGAACAATACCTATTATTCGCTGCGAGCAAGCGTTTGTGTTTCGCCTTTCCCGCTGGTCTTTCGGCGCCGTACTGTCGTAGTTCTGAAATGAAATAAGGAAGGAAGAACAAAATCAAGTTAACGGCTCACTTGCACTTCACATTTTGAATCGAAATATACAAGATATAGCAGTGAAAATCGGCAAGAATATGCCTTCAGTTGCTAATGTCTTCTGGCTATTCAAATCAACCCGACGAAGAATTAATTTGCAAAGCCAAAGATCAAGCCAACAAATTCTTTAAACCAACCACGACCATGTACCTGAGCAGAATTCTTACAACTTTTCCCTAAACTTCTTCGAGTGATTCTTCCCTCTTCGAAAGTCCCAAGTTTGAGTTTCTTCCCGAATCAACCACCTTTTATTACCTCAAAGAACATTCCAACGGACAATGCACTTTATGCATCGATCACACCTAACAGTAAAGCCTGGTTTCCATATGACGCCGACCTGTCGCCGACTCATTGTCTGTAATCATCCAAGGAGAAAATGATTTCAGAAAGACAAAAGATTTCACTCATCAGTAATCACCGACAATAATACTTTACCGACGTCGGCGTCATATGGAAACCAGGCTTAAGGTCTGTTTCAAAAGTCGTGCTTCTCATGTGCTGAACGCATTAACAACAATAGATAATGAGGCATCTCAATTGATTAACTATTGTTTAAATGCGCTTGTTCGGCGCAGGAGACTTTTGAAGCAAACAAACTTTGCTGTATCAGGGCAATATGTTTTGCTTATTTCTATTGTCCGTTGCAAGCGATTAAGGAAATTCTCATTCCATTTGCCCATACTTGTTCTAAAGCCACGTTTACACTACGCGCTTTGACCTGGCCTGGACCTGGTCTAGGCCCAAGTATATAAATGCTGTTTATCTGGCTGGGCCACGATGAACCAGACCAACAGAAGGTGGCCTGATTTTTTTTATGTGAACTTTACCTAGATAGTCCTAATCAATTTTCAGGTGGTATAAATTGATTGATCTTGATGGTATAAACTGTATTGGATCCGGAAC